TATATATATATATATATATATATATGTGTGTATGTGTGTGTATATATATATATATATATGTATATGTGTATATATATATATATATAGGTTAATGGTGCTAAAATGAAAATGTTGTTTGTGTTACCACTTCTAATGGCCTAGCCCTCAATACCATCTATCTTCTCTCATCTCCTGCTGCCCGTTACCATACCTACAGCAGAAAGAAAAGCTGCTTCTGTTTTTAACAAGCTCAAATAATGACCTCAGAGTTACTGTTAGTTCTTCTTTCTGTGTGTCACTCTCTCTTTAATAATAAACACATTCATTTTCTCTCATCTTTATTCTCTTAGTTTTAGTGGTCTACTTCAGCTCTGCTGTCTGTATTTTGCTTCAGAGGATCCATGGAACTTTTCTAATAAACAAAAAGCAATACTGAAACCCAGTTTGCACAAAAAGAAATGTTTCAGGAGTTGAAAATGTGTTGTCCCCTGCTGTGATTGTATTTATCAATCTGAAAGCCTAATGAAAATGTGACGCCACAGTCTGTTGTCCATGATTTGTTTTGCCCCAAGCTGAGCTGAATGTGGGTCTGTGTTACGCTCCGAATAACAAATATACACATAAAAAAAAAGTTCTGACCTGTTTTCAGCATCTTGTCAGTCGATACGGTGCAGATAATTTTGGATAAATGTAGGTTGTTTGGGGAGCTTGGTTAGTGTACGTGTGACATGACACTGATATTTACTTTGTGTTTTCATATTGATGCTTTTAACTGTAATTGCAGCACAGTGTGGGTGGAATCTGTAAAGGGGACTGTTTTGTTGCGGTGAGCTTTATTGGAGCATTATGGGGTGGCTGGTTAATGGTTAGTGTGCTGGAATGGTGTGATAGCTGTTAACGTCCTGTAATGAGTCCTTTCCGTTCACTCAACTCAAGAGCGTCACAGTCCAGTGTTTTATAATATAGCCATTTATATCTGGTCATTTATGTGTTTTGCTGATCAACTTCCTTTCTCCTTTTTATTCTCTAGGTTTGTTCATCCAGTAGGGGCCATCTCTCCATCTTTTTCTCAATTTTTCTCCCTGGTTCTCTCACTCTCAACCCCATCCTCCCCCGAGCTCCACTGATTCTGGTTCAGGACCCCTTTCAGATCCAGTCAGCCCTCTCCTCTCCTGTTGTCCGGCCTGTTGGCATGGCGGGGCGAGGTGGACCAGCGCGGACCAATGGTGCCGCCCCCGTCGGGAACAAAATATGCCAGTTCAAACTGGTCTTGCTGGGAGAGTCTGCCGTGGGCAAGTCCAGCCTGGTGCTGCGTTTCGTCAAAGGCCAGTTCCACGAGTATCAGGAGAGCACCATTGGAGGTTAGCCGGAGTGTGTTTATGTCCAAGCTTGTTCTTTCTAAAGATGAAGGGTTTTCCTCACACTTTTGAGCTGTGACACAAAAGATAGCAGACATGAAAGAATGTTAGGGATGCACAATATATTTGGTTGTGGGCCGTTGTTAGAGGTTTTTTTTTTTTGTAAGTTATCTAATTCTGATACTTATTTCTTCCTATTTTTACATTTAGATGATCTAACATTCTTCTAAAGGTCATCTTTAGTGGAAATATTCTGTAGAACTGTAGAATATCTCCTTTAAAAGGTTGGCTACGGGATCATATCTTGAAACACAACACAGCGAGAAGTAGTGAGAACACACTCAATATAGAGCAAACCTTCTGCATGTATGAGGTTATGTTGATATGTGGTGAGAGGGCTGGGCTCGATCAGAAGCAGACAAGCTGGTTCTTACGCGCTAATCACATGACTACCACATGAGTTACACTGCAGTATAAAACAGACACGCAGTTATGCATGTGCACACATCTGATCTCATAACCAAACACGTTCTGTATGCAGCTTAAAATGACATTCACTTTTACGTTTTAAAAGATTTACGTTCTCCACTGTTTTAAAGAATTACATGGACAAAGAGAGAAGAGAGGAAGGTGTTTGGCGACCAGAAGGAAAGGGAAACGGTCAATAATGGGATTTCCTGAGTGTGTGTGCTAGTGTGTCCCTCCATTTTTAAGTCGTCAGTGTCTCAGGGGATCTTTAAGTGAATTAGATTGTGTACATTAATGGATTTGTTCCATCAGGGCTCAGTTTCATATTTAGCAAGAGATCCATTCTAGTCAGGCATGAGGAAAGAAAACAGCTGGGAGTGACATTTAGTACAGGCAGGATACCACATGCTTACACAAGGCTGACAATAAGGAAATCCTCAGCACTTTTTTTTGTCCTTCTACATATTTTCCTTCAATGCCATCATCCTGTCGTCAGTGAGCAGGTCAAAGCTCAGTGCTGTGGAGAAATGAATGTGAGCTACAAACATGTGACCATGGCAATGTTTGGATTAGAAACTTGCATGGTCTTTCTTATTCTCCGCTTCTGCACATTTGTGTCTGCATCATTTTAATGTGTTTTAAAATCTACATTTTCTGAACAGTTTTAGACTGCTTGCATGTGCAAATGTCACAATTGTGATGGTAAAGTGTTCAGGGTGGTTGCGAAAGTGTTCGTGGTTGTTAGCATGTTGCTAGTTGTTTGGTCGGGTGTCATCTCTCATCATCTGATATCTTTATATGTATATTCAAAAGTTTGCTGTTGTTTTTTTTTTTTATGTTTTTGACCAGTCTCTTATGCTCACCAAGGCTGCATTTATTTGATCGAAAATTCAGTAAAAATTGTAATTGTAAAATGTTATTGCAATTTAAAATGACTTATTACTCTTTAAATACATTTTTATTTATTCCTGTGATGTGAAGCTGCATTTTCTGCATCATTACTCCGATCTTCATTGTCACATGATCATTCAGAAATCATTCTAATATGATGATTTGTTGCTCAAGAAACATTTCTTATTATATTTCTTATTATAAACAGTTGTGCTGCTTAAAGGGTTAGTTCACCCAAAAATGAAAATTAGCTTGTGTTTTACTTACCCTCGAAGCATCCTAGGTGTATATGACTTTCTTCTTTCAGACGAATCCAGTCAGAGTTATATTAAAAATTGTCTTTGATCTTTCAAGCTGTTTAATGGCACTCAGTGGGTGTTGCAGTTGAACAGTCCACAAGTCGTCAAATAAAGCTTGTGCATTCATAATAAAATGTGCCGCAGACGGCTCCGGGGGATGAATAAAGGCCCCCTGTAGCGAATCCATGAGTTTTTGTAAGAAAAATATCCGTATTTCAAACATAATAAACACTTTTCTCTCCCTTACGTTATCTGTCATACGCGGATCCGTTCCGGCGGAAGGTGTATGACATATGCGCAGCGCGCGCGCCTCTGAGATATGCTAGTCTCGCGAGTTTGTTTAATAGGAGCAAAGGAAGCAAAGTTTCCTTACTTTAGCAAAGGAAAACCAGTCTCCTCTTGGTTTATATCTAAATCCTCCGACATTTTTCTTTGCAAATCCTCCGTTTGTACTTCTAATTCGTGACCGGCGTTTTTAGTTCTCTCTCCGCATTCGTCACTAATCACGCAACGCCGCGCGTCTTACGTCATCCGCCGGAACTGCTTCAGTGTGACAGTCAGCGGAAGTGAGAGAAAAGTGTTTATTACGTTTGAAATATGGATATTTTTCTTACAAAAACTCATGGATTCGCTACAGTGGGCCTTTATTCATCCCCCCGGAGCCGTCTGCGGCATGTTTTATTATGAATGCGCAAGCTTTATTTGACGACTTGTGGACTGTTCAGCTGCAACACCCGCTGAGTGCCATTAAACAGCTTGAAAGATCAAAGACAATTTTTAATATAACTCCGACTGGATTCGTCTGAAAGAAGAAAGTCATATACACCTAGGATGCTTCGAGGGTAAGTAAAACACAAGCTAATTTTCATTTTTGGGTGAACTAACCCTTTAATATGTTGTGAAAAACCATGATTTTTTTAGGATCCTTTGATGAATAAAACAAGTAAAAATAATAATAATAAAAAAACAAAACAAAACAAAAAAAACAGAATTTATATGAAACAGAAATCTTTTGTAAGATTATAAGTGTATTAGCTGTCACTTTGATCAATTCAATGCATTCTTTGTGTTAAATGAAAATTAATAATTTCTTTAAAAAAAAATGACCCCAACTTTTGAAAAGTAAGTGTATGAGCAGTAATAATAGTAGTGCTTAGCTTAGCACTGATACCAATTAAAACCGAGTGGTAAATGTAAACGTAATGAGACACATTTTATAAAAGGGAACTTTCTGTTCCCTTTGACTGTGATCTAATTTCTAATCCTTCTGCTCAGGAAATCTCTATGCCAAAAGCAACTTTCAAATGTTGTAAGCGTTTCAACACTCATGAGCGGCAGATCATTTTGTCAAACCCTCCACCACATAACTGTGCATTAAACATCAAATAACCTCTAAATGGTCTGATCATGACGATGCATATTTTTGTTTCTTATTCTTCCTCCCCTCTGAACATGTTCAGATTTAAATAGCTCAGCAGTAAGGAAGTGTTAAAATAATTATTTGTATCATATGAACTGATGTACATTGGCTTCATGCCATAAACATTTCTGTTTCTCTTTCCTTTCTAGCTGCTTTCCTCACACAGACAGTCTGCCTGGATGATACAACAGTAAAGTTTGAGATTTGGGACACGGCCGGACAGGAGCGTTATCACAGCCTGGCCCCTATGTACTACAGAGGAGCCCAGGCGGCCATTGTCGTCTATGACATTACTAACACAGTGAGTGGCCGTGATTATGAAATCAAAACATTTAAGTCTGAGTTTTTATCAGACATGTGTCCTGTACAGCCAGTCATTCACCAGCTGAGGGTTACGTGGCACCTCAGCTGCAATGTGACTTTGCCAGTCATGCATTGGCTCTAATAAAGGCTGACATCACGCCGTTGTGCTCAGCAGAAGGGTAAGGTCTGAATAATAAGGTTTCACCTGACTGACTGCTGGGGTTAATTATTATTCTGTAGGATACAGTCAGACCTTTGCTCAAAGTCAAGCAAGTCCCAGTGGCAGTGCACTTCCTTCCTGTTGGCAACCTTAAGCTAATGTATGTGTGATTGTATCAGAATACAGTGATTTGTTTGTAATATGTAAGATATTTTGACATATCATGAAAATCTTGACTTTTTCTGTGTTTAAATGCTACAATCGGGTCCCCGTTGCATCTAACAAACAGAAACGTGAAAAAAACAACCCAGTAAATTTTTTTGGTAAGCCTTTCTCTGCAAGCTTGTGAAAATCCACGATCAAATTTCGATCCACTCAAATTTCAAATCCGCTCAAAGAAAGGGGATCTTATTATAATATTACCGCCCATTAATCTGCAAGTTTCCACCCACGGTGCCGCTATTGTGTTTTTGCAAGCGACAACGGTATACCAGTTCTAATGCAATGGCGAAAGTTTGAGAAAAGCATGCTAACTGTTCTGTCTTTGGCTGCACTGACAAGCACAGAACACCATTTAGAGTCCCAGTCTCAGAGGAGACGAGAGCAGTGGATTTATTGATTTATTTACTGTATAATTACGCTGCTGCCACACAGATCTAATATAAACACACTTTTTTTTCCCTTCACAGACATAACCCACTGTTTTCGTAACTCGTGTCTGTTTTTAACATAAACTTGTGTGTATTTGACAGTTTAAGCATAAGACATGAATGAGAACTTAGTTTAGTACTCACATGCCGCGTGACAGCCGCTTTCTGTGCATGTGCTTCGGATGTGTGCGCTCAGAAAACCGTATATCAGAACTTTCAACTGATATGGTTTAAAATGCATGATTTCAGCGTGATAGACACATAGACTGTAAAAAACGTGGACGTAGTGTCCGTGACGTCACTCGTAGGTTTCTGAAGAGCATTTTTGAAGCCTAAAGTGGGCGGAGCCGACAGTCGCCATCTTGGCCACGCGTCACTCCCGGATAATCGAAAATGGGCAAAAAGCCGGGACGTGGGTGAAGCTGAGGGTGCCTGCTGCTGAAACCACACCCAGAGTGACAGCAGTGCTACCGTGCAAAAACAAAAAAACATAACTTCGTTTTTGGTCGAAAATGATCAATTTGATATTTCTGGAACATTCAAGACCTCCTTTATCATGTGTATAAGTATCTTGAAGAAAAGCCCCGGAGAAACCAAGGCAGAACACAGTATAACATCAGTTAAAACAAGTAAAAATAATAATAATAAAAAAACAAAACAAAACAAAAAAAACAGAATTTATATGAAACAGAAATCTTTTGTAAGATTATAAGTGTATTAGCTGTCACTTTGATCAATTCAATGCATTCTTTGTGTTAAATGAAAATTAATAATTTCTTTAAAAAAAAATGACCCCAACTTTTGAAAAGTAAGTGTATGAGCAGTAATAATAGTAGTGCTTAGCTTAGCACTGATACCAATTAAAACCGAGTGGTAAATGTAAACGTAATGAGACACATTTTATAAAAGGGAACTTTCTGTTCCCTTTGACTGTGATCTAATTTCTAATCCTTCTGCTCAGGAAATCTCTATGCCAAAAGCAACTTTCAAATGTTGTAAGCGTTTCAACACTCATGAGCGGCAGATCATTTTGTCAAACCCTCCACCACATAACTGTGCATTAAACATCAAATAACCTCTAAATGGTCTGATCATGACGATGCATATTTTTGTTTCTTATTCTTCCTCCCCTCTGAACATGTTCAGATTTAAATAGCTCAGCAGTAAGGAAGTGTTAAAATAATTATTTGTATCATATGAACTGATGTACATTGGCTTCATGCCATAAACATTTCTGTTTCTCTTTCCTTTCTAGCTGCTTTCCTCACACAGACAGTCTGCCTGGATGATACAACAGTAAAGTTTGAGATTTGGGACACGGCCGGACAGGAGCGTTATCACAGCCTGGCCCCTATGTACTACAGAGGAGCCCAGGCGGCCATTGTCGTCTATGACATTACTAACACAGTGAGTGGCCGTGATTATGAAATCAAAACATTTAAGTCTGAGTTTTTATCAGACATGTGTCCTGTACAGCCAGTCATTCACCAGCTGAGGGTTACGTGGCACCTCAGCTGCAATGTGACTTTGCCAGTCATGCATTGGCTCTAATAAAGGCTGACATCACGCCGTTGTGCTCAGCAGAAGGGTAAGGTCTGAATAATAAGGTTTCACCTGACTGACTGCTGGGGTTAATTATTATTCTGTAGGATACAGTCAGACCTTTGCTCAAAGTCAAGCAAGTCCCAGTGGCAGTGCACTTCCTTCCTGTTGGCAACCTTAAGCTAATGTATGTGTGATTGTATCAGAATACAGTGATTTGTTTGTAATATGTAAGATATTTTGACATATCATGAAAATCTTGACTTTTTCTGTGTTTAAATGCTACAATCGGGTCCCCGTTGCATCTAACAAACAGAAACGTGAAAAAAACAACCCAGTAAATTTTTTTGGTAAGCCTTTCTCTGCAAGCTTGTGAAAATCCACGATCAAATTTCGATCCACTCAAATTTCAAATCCGCTCAAAGAAAGGGGATCTTATTATAATATTACCGCCCATTAATCTGCAAGTTTCCACCCACGGTGCCGCTATTGTGTTTTTGCAAGCGACAACGGTATACCAGTTCTAATGCAATGGCGAAAGTTTGAGAAAAGCATGCTAACTGTTCTGTCTTTGGCTGCACTGACAAGCACAGAACACCATTTAGAGTCCCAGTCTCAGAGGAGACGAGAGCAGTGGATTTATTGATTTATTTACTGTATAATTACGCTGCTGCCACACAGATCTAATATAAACACACTTTTTTTTCCCTTCACAGACATAACCCACTGTTTTCGTAACTCGTGTCTGTTTTTAACATAAACTTGTGTGTATTTGACAGTTTAAGCATAAGACATGAATGAGAACTTAGTTTAGTACTCACATGCCGCGTGACAGCCGCTTTCTGTGCATGTGCTTCGGATGTGTGCGCTCAGAAAACCGTATATCAGAACTTTCAACTGATATGGTTTAAAATGCATGATTTCAGCGTGATAGACACATAGACTGTAAAAAACGTGGACGTAGTGTCCGTGACGTCACTCGTAGGTTTCTGAAGAGCATTTTTGAAGCCTAAAGTGGGCGGAGCCGACAGTCGCCATCTTGGCCACGCGTCACTCCCGGATAATCGAAAATGGGCAAAAAGCCGGGACGTGGGTGAAGCTGAGGGTGCCTGCTGCTGAAACCACACCCAGAGTGACAGCAGTGCTACCGTGCAAAAACAAAAAAACATAACTTCGTTTTTGGTCGAAAATGATCAATTTGATATTTCTGGAACATTCAAGACCTCCTTTATCATGTGTATAAGTATCTTGAAGAAAAGCCCCGGAGAAACCAAGGCAGAACACAGTATAACATCAGTTACCGCTCTTTGACTTTGTTTTGGAATGCTCAAATTAAGTTACGGTGCTCTGCATTTGTTTAGCCGTTCGTCAATATTACTGTGCCAGCCTGGAGTTATACGGTATTCTGCCTTTGTTTTACTGTCCATTAAAGTCTTCCACGTTTAAATTACGGTGTAACTTGTGTGCTTTCATACATCTGTTGGCACTTCATTAGACAAACAAATTAGCGATCTAACAAACTGCTCCATATAACAAAGCACTGTAAACAAGCAACGACTAGATAACTTGGCAACAATAATTAATCATAAATAATCTTTAAAGTTTTTTTTTGTTCTTTTTATAATGCAGATTATTCACTCAGTGCCAGGTGTCAGTCTGGGGCTGCACACTTCTGCACGTGTGAGGACTCGAATGCCATGACAGCGTAGCATGTATTACACATAAAAACAGTAACCGTTCGCAATTAAATCCTTACTACCTTTTCATGTAACTCGATAAAATCCATGGCAATGAACGTCATCAGAGATGTTTAATTAACAATCATTCTGAGCATTATTCATACTTGCTGGCGTTCACATCAATCCACAAGTCGTTCTTATAGGTTAGTCAGGCTATTTTCATTCAATCGATGTAAAAAAAATAGGCGTAGCCTATGTCTTGCATCCTTTAATGTTAGCGAACATTGCAAATAAATTGGTTGCAAACCGGTATCCACTCACGTTTAACTTTTTGTCTGGTTGTTATGGTAAAAAAAAAATTTAATCACATTACTATATGTTATAGCCTATGAGATAGCCAATGATCACTAGAGCACCCAAATATTGTATATAATGTGGAAGTTACTGCCTTTTGCCTTGGTGTGACATCTCACTTTTTGCAGACAATGCAAAGGCAGAGTACAATAACTTCAAAATAGCAGTAAAAATCAAGTTTTCATTAAAACATCTAATTGGCAGATTTCCAGTGTCCTACCTATTAGGGGTGTGAACCTACACTGGTCTCACGGTTCGATTACGATTATCATGTCATCGATTCGGTTCAATTTGATATCAAGATGCATTGACAATGCACTGAATCCTCAATTTTTAATTTTACTTCACATGTATACAATTTTGTCAATAAATACAAGCAGTCAGATATATGAACTGTACCTGACGTGGTTTCTCAAGTTAGTCGTATTACCCTCGGCATATTTTATTGTGCATGACATGATTTACACACAGCGTGTGTCTTCTTCAGGTCGTGCTTACCAGGTTGTTCATAAAAGCTGAAATGTGCCCAGATGTCGGCTTTTAAAGTAGTTGGAGCATTTTTAATTACTCGCACTCGCGTCTCGCCTCCCTCCGCCATTAGGCGCGTTCGATTTGAAGCGGTGCGGCACATAATGATCAGTGTATGATATCAACCGCGAGAGCGATTCGAAAGCATAAAGATCCGTCTGCTCTATCGCTCTCGCGGTACTTGATGTCATACACTGATCATTCTGCGCAGCGGCACTTCAAGCCGAACGCGCCTAATGTATGCTACCACGACAGATGACGTCAGAAAAGCATCAGTAAGCATCAGTACGTTATAATGGGTTATGGTCTATTACTGAACCGATACCAAATCGTCCTCATCTGCTCAACTGATATGGTTTAAAATGCATGATTTCAGCGTGATAGACACATAGACTGTAAAAAACGTGGACGTAGTGTCCGTGACGTCACTCGTAGGTTTCTGAAGAGCATTTTTGAAGCCTAAAGTGGGCGGAGCCGACAGTCGCCATCTTGGCCACGCGTCACTCCCGGATAATCGAAAATGGGCAAAAAGCCGGGACGTGGGTGAAGCTGAGGGTGCCTGCTGCTGAAACCACACCCAGAGTGACAGCAGTGCTACCGTGCAAAAACAAAAAAACATAACTTCGTTTTTGGTCGAAAATGATCAATTTGATATTTCTGGAACATTCAAGACCTCCTTTATCATGTGTATAAGTATCTTGAAGAAAAGCCCCGGAGAAACCAAGGCAGAACACAGTATAACATCAGTTACCGCTCTTTGACTTTGTTTTGGAATGCTCAAATTAAGTTACGGTGCTCTGCATTTGTTTAGCCGTTCGTCAATATTACTGTGCCAGCCTGGAGTTATACGGTATTCTGCCTTTGTTTTACTGTCCATTAAAGTCTTCCACGTTTAAATTACGGTGTAACTTGTGTGCTTTCATACATCTGTTGGCACTTCATTAGACAAACAAATTAGCGATCTAACAAACTGCTCCATATAACAAAGCACTGTAAACAAGCAACGACTAGATAACTTGGCAACAATAATTAATCATAAATAATCTTTAAAGTTTTTTTTTGTTCTTTTTATAATGCAGATTATTCACTCAGTGCCAGGTGTCAGTCTGGGGCTGCACACTTCTGCACGTGTGAGGACTCGAATGCCATGACAGCGTAGCATGTATTACACATAAAAACAGTAACCGTTCGCAATTAAATCCTTACTACCTTTTCATGTAACTCGATAAAATCCATGGCAATGAACGTCATCAGAGATGTTTAATTAACAATCATTCTGAGCATTATTCATACTTGCTGGCGTTCACATCAATCCACAAGTCGTTCTTATAGGTTAGTCAGGCTATTTTCATTCAATCGATGTAAAAAAAATAGGCGTAGCCTATGTCTTGCATCCTTTAATGTTAGCGAACATTGCAAATAAATTGGTTGCAAACCGGTATCCACTCACGTTTAACTTTTTGTCTGGTTGTTATGGTAAAAAAAAAATTTAATCACATTACTATATGTTATAGCCTATGAGATAGCCAATGATCACTAGAGCACCCAAATATTGTATATAATGTGGAAGTTACTGCCTTTTGCCTTGGTGTGACATCTCACTTTTTGCAGACAATGCAAAGGCAGAGTACAATAACTTCAAAATAGCAGTAAAAATCAAGTTTTCATTAAAACATCTAATTGGCAGATTTCCAGTGTCCTACCTATTAGGGGTGTGAACCTACACTGGTCTCACGGTTCGATTACGATTATCATGTCATCGATTCGGTTCAATTTGATATCAAGATGCATTGACAATGCACTGAATCCTCAATTTTTAATTTTACTTCACATGTATACAATTTTGTCAATAAATACAAGCAGTCAGATATATGAACTGTACCTGACATGGTTTCTCAATTTAGTACTATTACCCCCTGCATATTTTATTGTGCGTGACATGATTTGCACACAGCGTGTCTCTTCTCCAGGCCGTGCTTACCAGGTTGTTCATAAACGCCGAAATGTGCCCAGATGTCGGCTTTTAAAGTAGTTGGAGCATTTTTAATTACTCGCACTCGCGTCTCGCCTCCCTCCGCCATTAGGCGCGTTCGATTTGAAGCGGTGCGGCACATAATGATCAGTGTATGATATCAACCGCGAGAGCGATTCGAAAGCATAAAGATCCGTCTGCTCTATCGCTCTCGCGGTACTTGATGTCATACACTGATCATTCTGCGCAGCGGCACTTCAAGCCGAACGCGCCTAATGTATGCTACCACGACAGATGACGTCAGAAAAGCATCAGTAAGCATCAGTACGTTATAATGGGTTATGGTCTATTACTGAACCGATACCAAATCGTCCTCATCTGCATCGCGATGCATCGTAGAAACGATTAATTTCGACACACTACCTATAATTATTTTTTCTGGACAAATGAAAATCTTTAAAGCCATTTTTCTTGCCGTTTGTAGGGCAGAGCGGCAATCCACCTATCACTCAAGTGGCCACGCCCTTAATTGTGCAGAAAAAAAAAAATCACCCCCCTCACAGTTGTCATGAAGGGCACAATTACCTATATAGACCAAAACCACTTTTTGTACCAGACTGTAAACATTTTTTTTTCTGCTGTAAAGTTGGGCATTTTAACATGGGAGGTCTATGGGATTGACTCCCTTTTGGAGCCAGTCTCTAGTGGCCAGTCGATGAATTGCAGTTTTACTCACTTCCATATTGGTTTTAAGGGAGAGACTGGGAGGATAGACATGATAATAAAAATCAAACAGGTGTTTTTTTTTTTTAACAGAGTATCTGAGGAACGAGCTGTGAAGGCACAGCCCTGTTCTGGAAAGCGGGGGAGCAGGGGGCGGGGAGCAGCAGCTCATTTGCATTTAAAGAGACATGCACGAAAACAGCGTATTTCTGCTTCCACTCAAAATAGGCATTTTCAAAATGATATAAATGATCTATGGGGTATTTTGAGCTGAAACTTCACAGACACTTTCTGGGGACACCTGAGCCTTATATTACATATTGTAAAAAGTGCCATAATAGGTCACCTTTAAGTCTCTTTTTAAAAAACCATGCATATGCAGGTGTTTTTAGTAAAAATAGATATCAGCTCGTTAAAAATATGATGCCAAAAATGAATTTTCAGCAGCCATTATTCCTGTCTTCAGTTCATCAATTTGATGCATCCTTGTGTGCCCTACTACTTCATCTGAGGTCACCTCTAACAATTACTTCTCTGCTGTTTTCCTTTGCACTCTTAGGACACATTCACTAGAGCAAAGAACTGGGTGAAAGAGCTGCAGCGTCAGGCGAGTCCAAATATCGTTATTGCTCTGGCCGCCAACAAGGTTGACCTGGCCAACAAGAGAGCTGTTGACTTTCAGGTGTGTTTATATGAACGCAAAACAACCTGTGTGAATCTGATATGTTTTTAACACATCCACATGCTTTCCTTAGGAGGCGCAGGCATACGCAGACGACAACAGCCTACTCTTCATGGAGACATCTGCAAAGACCGCCATGAACGTGAATGAGATCTTCATGGCTATCGGTACGATCTCATCTCTCTTATTGACTCTCTTCAAGCCCGGACCAAAACACAGCAACATGACACCAGTTTCACCTGCCGCAAAAATGCTCAACCAGACGCCACACCCAATCATTCAAATACTGCTGATGATTAAATTCAGTTCAAATCAAACTAGTACGTTTATGAAGAAAATTTCCTTCTCAATGTCTCTCTTTAGCCAAGAAGCTTCCGAAGAACGAACCGCAGGGTGGAGCAGGAAGTGGTGGAAGGGCCAGAGGAGGCGTCGACTTACAGGAGACAGCACCTCAGGGCAGAAGCGGCCAGTGCTGTGGAGGCGGCAACTAACCATCAGACCAATCAGCTGGCAGATGCACCCAAGGACTGATACAGACACACAAAACACCATATGAAACCATAGTGTGAGATCCATTCACTTATGACCCAGCTCTAAACTATGGCCAGTTAGACTGTACCATACAGCTTCAGAACTGGAAACTGGCCATCGATACCCTTGTAAATCAACACGTTAATGCTTCGACCAGTTATTCCTCCCAAAAACAGTACATGCACATTCAGATACAAGCAAACACAAGCTACGACACAAGTGTCTCTGCCATCTGTGATTTTTAAAGTTATTCGATTTGTCTTATATAGAGTTTTGACAAAGCAAAAGGAGACAAACATGTGAACCGATCTAACCAATCACATTTAAGACAAAAGAAATTCCAGACTGCTGCTGGTGGAAAAACAAGTTATCTCTCCCTTGTATTTCCTTATCCTCTCATTTGCTCGTTTGAATGAAAAATTTAGTGGCAACACCACTATTCAAACACGCTCTCCCTTTTGGTGGATGCATACTGCCAGTATTGAGTTACACCTCATATTTCTCCTGCTCTCCTTGATCACATCCCTCCTTTGTTGGAGAGAGGAAAGATCGGAGAATGAGCAAACAGGCTATTTTCCATCTATGTCAGGCTGTTCTGTAGATCCTGTATTATTTTTTTTATTGTATTAGTCTCTCAGACGTCCACTACTCCAGCACAAATGAAACCAGTATATGATTTAATAGGCTAGACTCCTTTTCTAATCATTTACATATATCTACTTGTATATCTAAATGCATTAACAGGTGGTGTAACTCCGATGTGGTGTTGTTTTTTTTCCCTTTGCATTAATGAAATGTTTTTGAAATCAGACTTGGAGAAAACACATATAAATGACACAAGGCAAAATCAGCCTCCTCTGACCAAAATCACAAATATTTACGAGGGGGGGAAAAAAGATAATGTCACTGTTCTTGTACTCTTGTTTTTTTTCCCTTTATTTTCCTGTGAATATGACCCCAATCATTAGCCATTTCAATTCAGCACCTTTGTAAGAATTTACTTGTTTTTGTACTTAAGGTCCCTTAGAGTGCACTGGGTATTTCTTTGTCCTCTGACAACTTGTCATTTTCTGTCAATATTGTTCCCTCATGTGTTCTGTCGAAGGACATCTCTTTCGACTGGCATTTTCAGCATCACATGTGACCTAGCACAACAAATGTGAACGGTGACCCAGACGTCTCAAGCAGGGTCTGAGGAACGAGGGAGGCAATGGACAAAAATTAATAAATGGAAAAACACCAAACTAATAGAACTTGTAATTTTACCAATAAAGGAGGGGAAAGTATACATTCTAATTGTTGTGTTGTTATTTCTAAATACAGGTGGCGATGTGGAGGTTTTTTTTTTGTTTTTTTTTAGTCGTCCCCTAAATATAGTTGGGAATGGAGGTCTTTATTCACCATTACTAAATGAATTTAAAAGTAAGTCTTTTGTGTTTATGTTGTGCTGGCAGTCGTTTTGAGTTACTGATGTTATTGTATCAAATCACTGTTCACAGTCAACCATGATTAAGTTCATTCATGCCTGAAAGTGTCCAATAACAGGGTGGTTACTAAGATTAGGCAAGTAGTATTTGGCTGGTCATGTAATCCTAACATGGCGGCCCCCTTGAGTGGACCCTCTGCATGTACGATAAAACGTTTTTATAAGGTAACACATGATTGGATTATTATTATAGTGTGAATGTTGTTGTTGATCTGTTTCAAAATTACTATGCACTTATTTAGGAGTAAAACTTTTTAACGAGAAAAATTGCTGAGTGCACCTTAAAGGTTCTTAAGACTTAAATCCATGAAGGTTCTGACTGGTAGTGATAAATGCACTTTAGTTTTGTCATCAGTAGTAACAATTTACAATTAATGCATTAACTAACATTAACAATGAGCAATGCATTGTTACAGTATTCATTTATCTTTGTTAATGTTAGTTAAAAAAAATAAACTGTTAGTCAATAACATTAATAAATACAACTTTTGACTTTAATAACGTATCGGTAAATGTTGGAATCAGCATTAACTAAGATTAATAAATGCTTTAGAAGTATTTTTTCGTTGTTAGTTTACAAATGTTAACAAATGGAACATTATTGTAAAGTGTTACCTTATCAGTGATTTTTTTTATCTAAATTAATTTTGTTTATGTTTTGTTAAAAACATGGGTAAGGCCAATTTTTAAGATTCAGAAGATTAAAAAATAAGAAGTTAAGAATAACCACGTTAGCTCACTAAAGTTTTAGCAAAATTCATTTTGGCATTTTGCTACTAAATATAAATAAGTTTAGACAAATGTAATTTTATTAATAAGCTTTAATATATGTTCTTTTAATGTGGTATAGTGCAATAAAAAGTAGCTCAAGTGTTTAATGCCCTCCAGTGGAAAGACATGTATCGTTTAATTTCGTAGTACTGCCTATAATACTACATCTCCCAGCATGCTCCTGTAGTGCGCACGCGCAGTGCAGTGGTTAGAACGCGCATCGAAAACCATCACAAAACTTTATTGCAGCGGCTCAGGGTGGAAGTGAGCGCGGCGATCCTCGGAGGTGAAGTAGGCTGCTGATATGGCGGACCCGGCGGCACAGAGCTCCGCGCAGCCCCGGCTTCAGCAAGCGCAGTCCGGCCCGGCAGGACCCACCCCAAACCCCGGAGCCGCGAGCAGCGACCCGGCCCGACCAGGCCTGAGTCAGCAGCAGTGGTCCAGCCAGAAGAAAGCCCAAGTCCGTTCGTTTCCGCGGGCTAAAAAGCTGGAGAAACTCGGGGTGTTTTCCTCCTGCAAGGTAACCGAGAGCTCGGCTCGTAACAATAGAGCGAGTGCCCGGGCCTGTCATGTGTCAGTGCTTCAGGAACAGACTGCAAACCAGTCTCGCGTGTTTCCTGAAGTAATATGAAGTAATAAAAGCCTAACGATGAAAACACAAGAAAATGAAAACCTCTATGGACTAAAAAATATAAGTGAATTACATTTCTAGTGAATTCCTTACCTATGCAGAAAAATGCTGTCAAAATGGGTAGCTTAACAGGTTTATATAGTGTGAAATTGGTCTGTGGTGGTTAATTGAATGCGTTTATTATGTATGTTTTGAAAACATGCACCATACATTAGACATTTTCAGTGTATCTTATTGTATTATGTCATGTTATCATCACTGCATCATTATAAATCAGAATGTTTTGGCTGTATGAACATGTAAATGAACCTGATGTTTAGTGTCCTCTTTAAATCACAGCTGTGTTCTCTTATCACAGGCGAATGATGCTTGCAAATGTAATGGATGGAAAAACCCCAATCCGCCGGCAGCCGCTGGTATGGAGCTCCAGCAGCAGGCAGCCAGTCTGACGGAGGCCTGCCGAAGCTGTGGACACTCTCTGGGTAAAATGAATGCCTTTATGTTGGTTTTATTACATCACACTATATCAGATCCATGGCTCTGCTTGGTATCATCCAAATAGGCTGCTCCGGCATGATTTTGTGCCCAGCCACTTTTCCAGTTGCCTAGCTTCTGGAAGTATTTAACATAGGGGTTTTTGAAAAGCCTTTGTTTCAGAGTTATAAACCATGAACCAAGCTATGAGGTCAACTTAAACTTTACTAATAATTGAAAATCAGATGAAAAGACAAGACTATGTAGTTAATGGCTTTAATGAAGCAAAGAGCTACAGTCTCTAAAGCATTGTGAAAGACAATCAAATTCAAAACAACAGCTAAATTTAAAGTCCGCGTGAACCAGAAGTTGCTGCCGACTTTATTTCAGTGTAGTGACATATTTCCAGCTGAAATTTTGATTTCATGCAGACTTTAAAACTATTGATTTATTGATTTTACAATTTACGAACATTTTAAATTTATTGCAAATTATACATACAAATATTTAAGTAGTTTGAGATCATAGGGAAACTGACTCTACATCATTTTTTTATTGATTGGTGGAAATTTCTTTGCAGAATCATAGGTAATGTAGTTTATTATCAGGATTGTCAGGATTATCAAAACAGCACACCATTGAATAACAGCCTTGCCGCTCACAATATGTTTGTCTTTAAAGGTTTATAAATTATGGTTTAAATCAGTTTCCCTGTGGAGAAAATATATGAGATTTTGGTCCACTTTATATTAGGTGGCCTTAACTACTATGTACTTTTAAATTAATAATTTGGTACAATGCACTTATTGTGTACATACATGTTTTTACATTGTACTTATGTTTTTTTTTTTAAATACCTCTATGTAATTAATTTCTGTAATTACATTTATAATTACACTGTTGACCCCTCTTTTACACCTTAACCCATTCTTAAACCTACCCATACCACCAAACTTGTGCCTAACCTTACCGTGTCCCACCTCAATAGCAGCAAAAGTGTTTTGCAATACAATATGAACACAATAAGTACATTGTACTTATTTTTTGATGTAAGTACATAGTAGTTAAGGCCACCTAATATAAAGTGTGACCAAGATGTTTTCTTCTGGACTATTGCACTCTTTGGCTGCCTTATATAGACAGATACCTGAACTTTGCAGGGTTGAACACAGCAAAGTGTGAACTGTGGGCATGGTCTAATTAATAGATAAGCAAATGCACAAAAATAATAATAAAAAGGTAATTGAAAGCAAGTGTAGGAAGTATCACCCTAAATGGACCAGTTTTAAAATATGTGTTATGCAAACCAGAGTTAAGCAGCATAAAGATAACCTTTGTAGATACAGGCTCGTATTAGGGGTGTGCGATATATATCGTCTGCGATAATATCATAATTGTTGTTTTAATGATGTGGGATTTGACATTATCGAGTATTTAGCAAAAACCATTCAAAACACGCCTACAGAGCGCATGCAAACATTACGTGAAGTCTAGAGACTAGTGCGAGTGTGCATTTAGAGTGTGTTTTCTGCTTTCACTGCATGATTTCAGTATATTATTCAGTCAGGTGTTTCGTTCTTGAATGAATCAACCGTTTAAATGATTCCGGTTCAATCGCAATGACTCTCTTATTAACAGCGATTTGCTGCCACCTACTGGCAGTTTTAATTTCATATTTAAAGTATCTTTTTATTATTTAAATTCTTCAAATATCAGTATTCAACGTTTTATGTTTAATAGGTCTATATCAAAACATTATTTATGCATTTGTAATTGCAGGTTAAATGCATTCATGTCCTGCATTAAACAGTGTGTAAATACATCTAAATGCCACTTCAGATTAGTGCTGGGCGGTATGACCAAAAATTTATATCACAGTATTTTTCAAAATTATACCGGTTTCACGGTACATGACGGTATTTTTTTTTTCATGCATGACCGGGTGTTAACCATATTTTCTACTGATTGAGAGAGGAAATACTGCAGTATATTGACTTAGAATGCCCTATTTTACTGTCATGATGAGTGAATATTGTCAAAAAATACCACACTAAATAGTGACTAAACACAACCCCTTTTAATACATGTTAACCAGGAGTCACTCTCATTTATAATCGCGGCATCGTCTGATAAAATCAACATGCATCTACA